TCCACTTCCGCTGTAATTTACTTAAGGTGATCGGAAGCAGAAGTTGTCCTCCCCCCTCCCTCAGTCTTCTGGTCCACGTCCCCCATAGTCTTCTGGTGACAGGTCCCAGAAGACTACAAGACCATTCACAAAGCGCAGCACTACTCGTGCATGTGCAGTGGGCAACTGCAAGCTGACACAGCCGGGTTCCCACACTGAAGATGCCGGCACCAGTGAAAGAAGATGGCCAGTGAAATCAGCCATGGTGAAGACACCGCAGGATCAAGGGACAGGTGTCAGTATTTGTCAGCAGCTACAGTTTTGTAGCTGCTGACTTTTAGTTTTCTTATTCAACTGGAACTCCGCTTTCAGAACACTTTTGGCAGGGTATTTTATTTTGTATCCTACTACATGCATTGCTACCTGGATTGCAGTATTCATGAACTTTCAGTATTTGCTGGTGTTTAGCTTGTAATGGGTGTTGTAATGTATGGTTTTCCACCATTTTGCAATAATTTACCTTGGCAATGTTGCCCCTATTGTAACTCAGCTATACTTCACATTTTTTGGTAACTCTATATTATGCATACGGAGCTTGTGCTTGGCTGAAAAAACTTAAATGATAAAAAAAAAAAAAACCAAACAGTCTTCCCAATAGGGAGATCTCACACATGTGAAATCCAACATGGGCAAACATCTAACATGTTGCAGCTTACCAATCCTTGGATCTGGTGGCTGCATTAGTTTTCTTTCTCAGGCCATATACATTTTCTGCAAGTACATTGCCCATTAATCTTTCCAGAAATCCAGTGTCCTTGTAACTTCCTGTACACCAGGGGCGGACTGACCATTTGGAAACTTGCCCGAGGGCCCGGGGTCAGTAGGGGGCCCCATGAGATGCCCCAGTACCTTCTGCATAGGCCTTTTTGAGTTTGGGCAAGGACACAGGGGCACCATGATCCCCTATTGCCCGGGGGCCCCCCATGAGTTGTCAGTCCGCCCCTGCTGTACACTTAAAGTGTTGCTAAACCCAGAACCCTGCATTCACCCTCTCAGAGTACACGGAACATGGAAATGCAAATATTTTAGTAAAAAAAACAGCTAATTCTCATCAACAGTATATAGCAGTCTATTGACTTCTGTCAGTGCTGGCTAAAATTTGTAGGAGGAGTTTTCATTCTCCCTGACTGTCCTATGAGGCTGCATGACTCCTGATGTCTGGACAGTGCTGATTGGCCCTGTGATGATTACATGCACCCTCTCCACAAAAAAAAAAAAAAAAAAAAAAAAAAAAAAACTCTAGCAATACACATCAAACTGAACATGTGCAGAGTGTCTCCTAGAGCTCTGTACTATCAGCAGATGGATTGGGGACTATCGAAGAAGGGGAAGATCAGAGAAGATAGGATCAAACTGCCTTTTTGCACAATGTAGAGGATTAACCCCCTAGATTTCACAGTGAGTATAACAAGCATGTTTTATAGCATATGCAGACTGATTTTACTGTTGTTGGTTTAGTATCACTTTAACTGAAATCTCAAGCAATGTTATCAGCCTTCCCAGTTCTCTTCTGTGTACTATAGAATAGCTTCCCCCATCTTATATAGATATGGAGAAGGGGAAGCCATGCCTCCCAGCATTCTGAAATGATAAAGAGGAACACCTTTTTAGCACACAGTATGCTTAACCTTTTAAAGAATGAGGGCCACTTAAGTGATTTTTCATGGGCCACAGTGAAATTAAATTGTTCAGAATTTCACATTTTTATTTAGTTGAATAGCAAAATAAACATTTTTTTTCCTAATAAATCAAGAAAAAGGTGCAGCACATAAAAATGAACAAATTTGTATCTATAAAATAGTCCTTATTAGCGACTAAAATTCCTTAAAGTACAATAGCAAAATCCAAAGAACAAATATAAGTCCCATAAATTGCTCTATGGCGTGATGGTGATACTCAGGGTGAAGTCCCAGCGGGGTACACGTGAATATTCTGGGAATCAGGAGTATATCATAAGGTGAGAAGTGGTTGTAAACTGGTGGTGTGCGATAAATCAGTGGGATTGCAAACTCACCAGAAGCACAATCTTAATGCGCATTGATCATAAATATCAGCCTGGAGATCTCCCCTCTCTGGAATATGGTCTGGTCTAAGATTCTCTCCCTCTGATGGTATGGGCGTTTAATGATGTCAATCAGAGGTGCCCTTTATGGGTGGTACAGTAAGGTCTGGTCATGGAGAAACAATCCTTCCTCTGGGCTGAATGAAGTCTGGGTCCTGAGGGTTTAACTGCTCATGTTGGAGCAAAAAATAGGGGATCCCATAGTGTAGTAAGCTTTGTTATTCTGAAGTAGATGTTTGTATCATTTTTCTCCTGCAGTCACTGAATTCTGGTGGGAGGAAGAGGAGGAGAAGCTGGCTTTTTCAGTTGCAGGAAGAAAAAGGAGAGGACTGGTCCCTTTATATATGGTGCCCCCGACAATCCTCCTGTCCAAGTGTAAAACAGAGTGTGACAGGGAGGCCACACGGGCTCCCTGAAGCATGGAGTGGGGTTGCATTTGCAGCCCCTGACACTACACCAGTGGTTGGAGGGTGTTGTAAAAACCATGTCTCAACCAGGGGCGGACTGACCATTTGGAAACTCGGGCACAGTCCGAGGGCCCAGGGTCAGTAGGGGGCCCCATGAGATGCCCCTGGTACCTTTTTTATAGGCTTTTTTGAGCATGGGCAAGGACACAGGGGCCCCATGATCCCCTATTGCTCGGTGGCCCCATGAGTTGTCAGTCCGCCTCTGGTCTCAACTATGGGGTTTTACTGCCCCCCAAACTGCAAATGTAAATGAGCTCTTACTGTCCTGAGCCCCCTATAAGGCTGCTTTCACACTTGACGCACTGCATGTTGGCAAGTCAAGCTAGTGATGAACAAGCATGCGCTTCCCTGGTTTGAGGTCGAGGGCCACATCAGAGTGCTCAGAGAGCCACAGGTTGAACATCCCTAATGGGCAAAGGACACATTCCTGCCACGTCCCTTCCACTGATCACAAAGATCTAATATGCAGAAAATGTATTTTACCTTTATATTTGCTATTCAAATAGAAATTGCAGAAATATAAAAAAATGATAAAAAGGATTTATCACACTAATAACACTTTTGGTAATAAAATAGTACAATTTGTATAAAGATGTATACATCAGACCAGAAAAAGGACAACTGAGGCTACAAGAGGGACAGGGGGATTTAATCTCAAATGAGGGACAGTCCCTCCACATGAGGGACAGTTGGGCGCTATGGGCAGGGGTGTATTTACCACAAGGCAAACAAGGCATTTGTCTAGGGTGGCATTTTTCAGGGGGGTAGCAGCTTTTTTCAGAGGGGCAGTATCATCCCCTGAAAGAAGGAAAAGAAGGGACACACGGGGATCTGAGAGAGGCTACGGGCTTTTCTTGGTGTATGCAGAGTCTGACTCTTGATCCAGGGGATGTCCAGAGCTGTGAAGGTGAGTGTCTACTACTCTTGCCAGAGTGGGGAGAATTTGGGGGGGTGGTAGTAAATGGCTCTCTCAGGTGGGGGGGCCTGGAATGTTGTCAGTCAATGTCAGGCTCTCTTCGTGGGGGGAGAGTGGGTGTTGGTCGGTGACAGGGTCTCTCCCTAGGGGGGGGGGGGGGGAGCCAATTTTTGTGTTGCCTAGGGCAGCACAAAACCTAAATACACCACTGGCTATGGGGAGAGGTGTTTGTAGCCTTGGGTGACAATACTTCTCCAAAGAAAGTAAAGTGAGTGAGTGTTGTCACTCCAGGACAAGAAGTGTGTTACTGGCAGGATCAACAGGTAAAACAAAGCCTGAAAAAAAAAAAAAAAAAAGAAACTGAATGCAGCCACCACATTTAAGGACTCGTATGTGTCAATAAATCACATTTTTGATTCTTTGTTCGTTTTTCTTCTTGAGTTTAGATACAGGTTAAACTTTTTCACACAAGTGTACCTGGAGGACAAGAAGTCCAGCAGGCACACCTTCACTGGGTAGAAGACCATTACCCAAGCTTTATATTCTTTTTTGGACCTTGTGGTGCTTTTAGTTGAAAATCTCACAAAGCAAGCTGATTTCATTGCTGTGATCTTCCATTTCGAGCTTCTATTCCAGATCCCCCCACCCTTCCCATGCATCCGTTTACAGACGTATGTGCAGATAAATCCAAAGGCGTTAATTGTATCATCATCTCGAGGATCTTGCTAGGTTTCACACTAATAACCCGGCAGTGGGAACGTTCTCCTAAGTGTGAAGGTAACTCGTTTAGGGTGCCTCACCTCCTGATGACATCCCAATGATTAACCCCTTGGCTGCCAGGATGGCATGCCATCTACATGATGGAGCATGTGGCCATGTGGTTTAATGACGTTCTAGGTGTAAACGAGTTCTGCTATATTTAGAAGGAGAGTGAGGCAGAGAATAATAGGATTTGAAGGCTTCACAGCTAATGGGAATAGTTGTGTGTCTCTTTCCTGAATGTGGGATTGCCCAGCTGAGCTATGTGAACAGATTGGAAAGGCTAAGTGACTTTACTACAGCCAATGGCTGTCATGCTATAAGCCATACTAACAGAAGGGGCTGATTGTTTTGCGAGTTGTCTGCTATGTAGCTCAGCCTCCCTCCCTCTACTAAAGGAGTCTCAGAAGGCAAGGCAGAGCGGAGGTCTACTTGGGAGCTGTCCAGGATTGTGGTGCTGAAGCTAGCCCTGCCACCCCTCGCTACAAGGCAGCATTCAGAGACCTCCTGGAATTCTTCAAGGCTTATCTTTGGATTTACCTACCTTGACACAAGATGACTGAGAAAATCCATTCAACTCATTAAACTTATCACAGGATCCATGCTCAGAAAATACAGGCACTAATTAGCGGCTGCTTGGAGAAGAGAAAAAGCTCTGAGGGGACCAGAAGCAGCTCATCTCCAGTTGTTTGTAAGAGCAGCTCAGAATTTTTGTTGAAGGTTCACCAACCCAACTTGCTGAAGCCCTCTTCTGATCATGGCTTTTATAGTGAAGACTATGGTGGGTGGTCAGCTGAAGAACCTCACGGGAGGTCTGGGGGGCAAAGAGGAGAAGGGAGAAGGGGAGAAATCAGCAGCTGAAGCTCAAGGTATGACAAGGGAAGAATATGAAGAATATCAAAAGCAGCTCTTGGAGGAGAAGTAAGTAAGTACTTGTCATGTTTGAAAGCTTTCAGAATCAGATGTAGACAGAATCCTCAACTCATGAGTCAATAGAAGTTCAGAAAAATATATATAAAATATGACATTATGTAAATAAGAAGTGGTAGGTGGGCTATCATGTGCAAATTCAGATGTAGACAGCTGTCTCAACTCATGAATGTAGAGAAGTTCAGAAAACTATATCATATATGTCATTAGGTAAATAGGAAATGTTGGTGGGCTATTATGTGCACATTTAGTGGTAGATAGCAGTCTCAACTCAAGAATACAGAGAAGTCCAGAAAACGTATAGAAAATATGTCTTTATATGAATAAGACATAGTAGGTGGGCTATCAGTGTGCACATTTACATGTAGACAGCTGTCTCAACTCAAGAATATAGTAAAGTTCAGAAAACTATATAATATATTCCATTATGTAAATAAGGAGTGGTAGGTGGGCTATCGTGTGCACATTTAATGGTAGATAGTCTCAACTCAAGAGTCAAGTTCAGAAAACTGTATAAAATGTCATTATGTAAATATGAAGTGGTAGGTGGGCTATCATGTGTAAATTTAGATGTAGATAGCATCCTCAACTCAAGAGTCCAGAGAAGTTCAGAAAGCTATATAAAATATATAAAAATGTAGAAGTGGTAGGTGGGTATTGTGAACATTTAGATGTAGATAGCAACTTCAGCTCAAGAATCTATAGTTCAGAAAACGATATAAAATATGTTATTATGTATATAAGAAGTGGTAGGTGGGCTATCATGTGCAAACTTAAATGCAGACAGCTGTATCAATTCTAGAGTCCAGTGACGTTCAGAGACTTGTATAAAATATGTCATGTAAATAAGAAGTGCCAGGTGGACTATAATGCTCAAAGTTAGAGGAGTTTAGAAACAAAGTAGTGTTGTATGTGCCATTCAGTATGTTTTTATTATCTTCTTATTAAGCCCCAAAATAAAATGTATTATACCGCAGCTTACCTTTTCTTAAATGTGGTGGCTACATTAATTTCCTTTCAGTTTTTTTCCTTTATTTTCACCCAATGATCTGGTCAGTAAATCTGTTATTTTTCAACTTCCCTTAACAGACCAAACTGTCCAGCAAATGTGTCAGAGGGCTGAGACAGATTATTTAACACTGGCAGAAGTACTTGCAACAATCAGCTTTTATTCATTTATGTAAAACTTCTATCTCAGAAGGAAGATAGGCTATCGCTCTAATGGTCTGAAAGGTGTTAGCTGGAGTTCAGCTTTAATTTATTAGTCACGTCCATCTAAATCTGCTAGTGCATCTAAGGCTCCTCTACACTAGATTAACAATGCTGCTGTCAAAAGGTGTTTCCATTGCTCCTCCATTCAGAGTGGAGACGCCGTAAGGCAGGAAGTGTGTTAGTAGCCAGATCACCAGGTGAAAAAGGAAAAAATAAAGGAAAAAAAAGCCTAAAAAGAAAACTAATGCAACCACAACATTTAAGGATTTGTAAGCTGCAATATATAATTTTTTACTGCTTTAAGAAACCCCACTGAAATAAACATCTCTTGCATTCCAGTTTGTAAGTGAATATATGCTGTGTGGTTATAGATCTTTATTTTATTTATTTTGTCTAGATCCAGGGGCGCACTGACAACTCATGGGGCCCCCGGGCAATAGGGGATCATGGGGCCCCTGTGTCCTTGCCCAAACTTAAAAAAGCCTATTAAAAAGGTACCAGGGGCATCTCATGGGGGCCCCTACTGACCCCGGGCCCTCGGGCAGTGCCCGAGTTTCCAAATGGTCAGTCAGCCCCTGTCTAGATCGTTATTTATTTTATCTGTATGTGAGTTATAAGCATTGTTGTAATAATGGCTGCCTTATACACAACTAGAAGTACTAAATAAGAAGAGTGTACTTTGGACTGAATACATGTTTTATGCCATTTAAACTAGTGGGAGAGTAGCAGAGTAGCACAGCACACATGACAGAATCAGTTAAACACCAAGAGTTCATTCCAAGCCAGCATCCAGATCATGTGTTGCTTCCTGCCTGCACCATCTTACTTGCATCACTGATTATGTTGTGCCGCTGCATTGAGACCTACTTGCAAACAAAGCAGGGCATGTGCTAGCACATGTGTCCCTCAGTTATAATTCATAAAGCTGAATTTACTGTCATGCCAACTCACACAAAACAGATAATTAGTCAGGCTTCTTTCAGTCCTGGGGGTCCTTAGATTGGAACAAATATGACCTATTCCCCAGCAAGGTTCACATGGTAATTATGATTTGCAGACCTGGCTTCATTTCAACCAACACTATCTAAGATTATAAACTAATAAGTATTAGGTTGTATTACAATGATAAGTTGTCACAATTCTACATTGCAATGTACATACGTTTCGCTACAAAACTGTTACTAAAATATATAATATTATTCTGAGAAGAAGCTGCACAAAGTGAAATAATAAACACTTGACTGCACACTTTTTGCCACATTATGGTACACATCTCTAGCATATTACACATGGTGATTGAGTAAATTTCATGCATATCACAAATCCATTACATAATTTCAGTAATTCCTGAATTAGAAAAAAAAGTGTCATCCTGTAAGGAGCACTCTCACAATCTATGTATGGTTTTATATACATTCATACATCTACTAACTTCCTCCAATTTTCTACTTGGGTGACTGCACCCTCTTATTCTCTAATTCTCTAATGCTGATCTATTTCAACCAGATTTCAATCACAAAACCAGCCAAAGTGGGGCAGGCAATGTACCACCAACATTGAGGATCATTTCACAGTGTCCATATATACCGTTGGCAGTAGCTTGCATTCTTTTGTTTTTGTGATTAAAGCCAGTTGAAATCACCTGAAACCTGTATTAGTGTTCCCAGTATAAAGGCTATCTATCTCCTTACTGAAGCTGGTTGTGAAATACAAATCATGCTTTGCAAATAACTTCTTCCAGGACGATTAGGTGACTCTTACCAAACAGGATTTTAGAGATCGACGAGGAGGGAGCAGGTGTTCCTCTGAAACTGGAACTCCAGTCATTTTGAATCATGGCACCAATCTGGCACCACAGATTTGCAGACTTCATTGGCATTAAATCACTATGATAATCCTGCATCATTCTGGGATAAAGTGTCAAAATGTAAAAAGGACATGAGAGGACAGTGAACAGTTCCTTGCAGTCCTTTTTCTTGGTCAGCTTTGGTTGCAGAAGTTACAGATGAAGCAGAGAAGATGTCATTTGTTTTAGTGAAGGTTACCATGAAATCTAAGGCCTAACCTAATTGGTATTCTCCTCATTCCAAGTCAAATGATCCTGAGAAGAGCTGAGTGACAAATGAATTAAAGCCAAAATGTGGAATTATAAAAACAGGTGTTTTTGGAGGATAGACAATTGATGCATTTGCCACTCGTCACTTCATTCTAGATCTGTTTTCCTAATTTTTGACATTAGAGAAAAAAAATCAGTTCAATAAAATGGAAACTTGTATGAAATACTTACTGTATTTTTTCTTTCCTGACATGTTAGTGCCAGGAAAATTGTATCAAATACTTACCAAAATTTGCTTTGCCTGGCGCAAATCTATGGCAGCATACATGTGGAAGTATGATGCCAAGCTGGTGCCTATTCAAAGTCATGTTTGTTGGAGAGAGTAGGGAATAGATAAGGCCTCCTTTACATGTTTTTGTCCTGTCTGAATCCCTCTGGGGCAATTTTCCATCATTTCCTGTCTGAAAATACATTATAAAATGAGAGGAGATCTCTCCAAACATAGGAATTCCTCTTAGACAGCTGCCAGTGAAACAAGTGTTCCAACTGGAAGATTTCCCCTCTATTCTTATTCCAGTGCAAACTCAAAATGTTATTTTCAGTTTCGGTGACAATGGTCATCAGGACACAGAGAGGAAGGGAGAAAAGCTGATCGGGGTTCGAACTCTTTCTACTGTTTTCAAAATGAAAAAATAGATTTAGATACACTTTACAGTATATATCATAATGAATTGATTACTAATAGATTTAATTTTGCTTTATATATATATATATATATATATATATATATATATATATTTGTTACTGTAGCATTCTTTTTCTTCCAATTTTTTTTTCTTAATACAAGTTTTTATTGAATTTTCTGATAAACAATGACAAAGAGCATCATACAAGAAAAAGAAAAACAGAAGTAGAAGCCAAAAGGGTTACATTTAAAAGAAATACATTAAGCAATGCTTATGTATATGCACAGTTTCAAGATATCAAATTTAGATAACATGTCATAAAAAAAAAATAAAAAAAATAGTAAATATAATCACTATTAGGGCAAGTTAAAAACCTGAGTTTCAATAGAGCAGGATGAAACTGCAGCAAAATGTTGGTTCTAGTAGCCAAAGATAAATAATAAAAATAAAAGAAATGTAGACTTCTGACTCAGTTAGCAGTAAAGCAACGCTTAATGAACAATATATGGCCAAAAAATTTCATGTAAGCTTTTTCATTTTTAAATCTATTTTGCCAGTTAAAACAATACAAGTTCTGGAAATCTTGGCTCACATGGTATGTCAACATTTCATTCTATCAAACTGTAAAACACAGCCAAGGACTGGGCAGGTAGCATGTAGTAACAAAACTATTGAGAAAGCAGTGAAAAGGGAAGCCAGAAAGGAGTAAAGTCCACAAACTGCTGAATAATAATGCAAGGAATCCTGTTGCTTAGGTCATTTATTGTACATGGAGCACATACAGTATTTGATACATAGTTAGTCTGGCTGAAAAAAGACAAAAGTCCATCCAGTTCTGCCATTAAAAAAAAAAAAAAAAAAGTTATAATCCTATACCCACAGTTGATCCAGAAGGCAAAAACCCAGTAAAGCATGATCCAATTTGCTCCTGCAGGGGAAAGAATTCCTTCCTGATTCCCGGAGAGGTAATCAGATATTCCCTGGATCAACTTTACCTATAAATGTTAGTATCCAGTTATATTCTGTGCATCTAGGAA